ACCTGCATAATCTCCCGTCCCCTTCAGCCCACACTATGGGAATCACCACCCTACACTTTGCAACTCAGGTATGCACAGTGGATGCTACCGGTGCATTATTTGCAAGGGACCAGGAAGGGTTATCTCTTACAGATGGACCGGGCAGAGAAAACTCCCATGATTCCCCACCAGCCTCGACGCCATCGTTTGTTATTGTTAAATTGTTTGAGAGCCCCCCTGGCTGCTGAATCTACATATTGTATCTTTAAAGGCACATCGGTCAATTTATTTGTTGGTTTTTTTGGGAACTTGTCTGAGAGAGAATGACGATGTGTGTGGTGTTAGCGTCGTGATAGCAATATGTTTGATTTACAAAACCATCTATTTTTATGTCACAATGTTGACTTAAATCAATGTTTTTTTTAAGTTAAAGAGATGCTAAGTTTGTTTCTTAGCATTGTCTGAACTGTTGTGTCATCGGTCAAAAGTCATCAGCCCACAGGCCTGAATTGATTTAGCCTAAATCAAGAGGGCCTGCAGTGACATCTGTCGCTCACTTACACTGAAGAGAATGGAAGAGGATGTACTCGGGCTGTAATAAATAAACCCATTTAGAGATAATCTGTGTGTATCTATTAGCTGTTAGCTCTGGCTGCTACTGTACTATAGGTTCCACCAACAATTAAATCAATTCTGCTAGCACATTTCTACCTGCCGTCCCCACTCAATAGTAGAGACTCACTCCATAAATATGACTATACGACGGCTGTGGCTCAGTGGTGGAGTCTACTACATGCAGCTATGTCCGATGTGTCCTTGGGCAAAGACACTTAACCCCAAGTTGCTCCTGCTGCTTCATCAGCAGCTTGTGAATGTGTATGATGAAGCTAAACTAGCTACTCTGATGGACACTTTAGGCCCTGTGTCCATGTGTGTTTTTTTTTTCTAAGCGCCAGTCGTTTTAAACGAGGAGAGAGCAGCGCCCGGCCTCTTTTTTCCTAGCGCTCCACCATTTTTTTTTTTTACAGCTGCTCCAAGTACTCCAGTTGAAAATCTTAACTTTTCAAAAAAAGGTGCTGTTGACGTCACTGGCGCTCTTTTCAAAATGTATGATATTCCCTGTATGTTTGTTGCGTACCAATCGTGTCTCGTACCCACATCCTCTTTGCTCCGTGTCTGATTGGGAAATAAACAATATAATATATAAAACAAACAAAAAGTAACAGAGCAGAGTCGGCCATACAGCGGCCGTTGTCAACAGACTGTTGTCATAGAGACAGGACGGACGTGCAGCGCTTCTCTTTAAAGCACACAAACGCTTCATTCAAGCACTCTCAATCGCAGAGCCCGGAAAAAACAAGAGGTGGACACGGGGCCTTAATCAGTGAGTGAATGTGTAGGTGTGACCTGTGGTGTAAAAGCGCTTTGAAAGGTCAGAAGACTACCATACAAACTCAAGTCCATTTACCATTTATGATGTGTGTAACAGTTTATTCTGACTTTTAGTTGTTTTTATTGTAAGGTGGTTTGATCCCTTCAGTCAGGGAACAAAATCTCTGGAGTGTTTAGTTGATGCCCAGCGTCAATGAGATTGATTGAATCAGGCTTCAAGGTTTTATTCTGCAACATCAACAATGATTTATGTATTTTCCTATAATCAGGTAAGTCTCTACACACCATTGGACCGTTTATGTGCACGACTACACCGCTGTTTTGATGTTTCTGTTACCATTTGATGCCAAAATGAAACTCCTTATTGAGTTTGATTTACTCTGAAAGCTTTTCTCATGGTGACATAATGCTGGAGGTTTGAAACACCAATGATCAGTTGTCCAAAATTCCTGTTGTTTTACACAAATTCCAACCGTTCACTAAAAATAGTACATTGTAAATGTGTCCTGCCCATGAGTTTCACATCACTCATGTTTTATTGGGGTTTTTTTAAGGTTCCTCCACATACTTAATGTGTGTGTTTGTGTGTCTTTCCTAACTTTGTCGATGACGTAGAGACTCTTTTAGTCATTAAAACAGTTTTATATGTGGATAATGTATGCAAAAGGTTGAAGAGGAAGAGCTCGATGTGAGAGAAACCTTTTCTCCTGTTCAGCTACAGACTGGTGTTTTAAAAAAGTGGGTGCACAGTGAATGAGTAACACTTCTCGTCCTCAGTAGCTACTTCCAAGGTGCTCTTGAACGTCCATCAGTTGTTGCAGCAGGGAAGTTGACTGAAAGGACTACATGTGCACAAAAATATCAGTGTACCTGGAACACGCTGTTCTTTTGCCTTTCTCTGAATAACTCAAAGTTAACAGCTTGTCCCTAAAGGGATTTTTTTTCACTTATTCTAACCCAATGTGACCTTTACCTTTTTAACAGCAAGATTTAAAGGCAAAAGAACACTTTTAAAAAAAACTGACCCTTGTGTGAGGACAGGTCTGACCTGCATGTTGTAGCATGTCTGTTTACAGTTTAGCAGAGAGGTATTTCTAATGTCAACTTGCATTAATATGAACTTTTCAAAAAGGAGACTTAACAGGCATGCCCTTTTTCTGCATATACTTCATCCAGCCCCGAGGAAACACTCACATGTCCTTATCTTACCTCGTGATTTCAATTCAATAAGTCATGCATTATGTTTACATCAGGAGTAGAAAATGCTGTGGTTATCATAGACATTAGGCGGTCCCGGGTCAAACACACCCAGAAAACAGGGGATGAAATGCTGTCTGTACTCAAAAGGTCTGTGAAAAAGCTCAACACAACAAACATTTAAACAAATCATTCAGTCTTTGTTTTTTTTGGGGTTTTTTTAACTCCTCTGGATCATTGCTGTGGTTTGGTTCCAGCACTTCAATGAGTATCAAACTAAACTGCAGCAGCAGGTCCAGAACAAAGCTGCAGGTATCGCTCTCAGCCTCTCATGAGCGTTGAGATCAAATATCAGTGAAATCCATGAGAGCCTGTCGTGGTTTGAAGTCGAAACAGATTACTTTATTCACAAAGATTTGGTTAATGTTGGATTTGCTAGCTAATATCAGAAGTTAAAACTGTTTCCCCATCTTACACTGCATATTACAGTGAATACTTTCACAGAAGTTTCCTGAGATCTTGCTCTTATTTACAAGAGCCACTTTTCATGCAAGGGCGGCTGTGGCTCAGCTGGTAGAGTTGTTCATATCCAAACCAGAAGTTTGGGGGTTTGATCCTTAGCTCCTGTAACTACATCTAAATGTGTCCCTGGACACTTAAAGGGGACATGTTGTGAAAAATCCACTTTCACAGTGTTTTTGAACATATATTTGAATGTCTACTGACCCACAAAATGTGAAATAAACCCATCCAGTCCTTTGTTTGTGGTCTGCGTAAGTCTTACAACACAGTTTCAAATTTGCTCTCCATGTGACATCATAGTGGGATTCTGGTAAAGAAAATATCTTCCCCTCAGCAGTGATGAAAAGTCAGGAGGGTCTCCTCTGGTGCTTGATTCATGTTATATTTTGACCAAAGCACAGCACAGAGGTTTCATTTAGACCAGAGGGGACTGTTTGAAAATGTAGATAAGGGGGATAATATGTCCTCTTTAACCCCAGGTTGCTCCCGCTGCTTCGTCGACAGCATATGAATGTGCGCATGAATTGTTAATCACGTTACTCAGCAGCCTCTACCATCAGTGTGTTAATGTGTACGTGCGACCTGCTGTGTTAAAGCGCCTTGAGTAGTCAGAAGACTAGAAGTCCATTTACCAGTTACACAACAACTAGTTATTTATTATCCTGTTATTTCAGCTATGGATGGTTCAGACCAATACATCAACTTTAAAAAAAATCTGTAATTTACATTCTAATTAAGAACACCTCCTCTATTTCATGATCTGGATGAATTATTATTTGTTTGTATAGGCATACATGGAAGGTAGAGAGAGAGATTGTCAATAGGCGAGCGAGAGAGAGGGTGTCTGTTTATGACGTTGTCTAAACAGAAACAGTATATGAGAAGATCAGAATTCTACAATTCACTTAGCAGACGCTTTTATCCAAAGTGACATCAGAGAGTAAGTACAACACAAGCAAAGCACCTTTTACCTTCCATACAGTAGTCAGTCATTCATTCATCAGACATTCCCCACTAAAGCAGTTACATTCAAATAAATCATTCCAGAAAACATGTGACAATTACTTCACATTTAGTGCCAATGCATGTGTGCTGAATGTCTCTGAAGAACTAAGTTTAAATTGAGGTAGGGGGAATGCTGCCATTTAGTCAAACAGACGGGCTTGAGGCCTGCCTTATGAGAGAATCTCTATGTAGCAAGGTCCAGTTGTCTTTCAGGATGCTCCTTTAGCTTGCCATCATCATATTGCTCCAGCAATATATGCCGGACCATGTGTTCAAATTCTTAAAACCAATCCACAGCAGCTGCACATCAGTTCCTCAAGGGGCTGGAAGTCTCACTTAATGAAAAAGGTCCAGCTTTGTTTTCAGGGTCCAAATGTCCTGGTTTTCAACTTCCAGACGTTCAGAATGAGTGTTTCCAAATGTTGATATGCTTGAGTCCTGCTACCTGCTGTTTGGCTGCACTTGAATGAACTAAATTAGGTCTTTAGTTCACCTGGGAAAAGGGGGCAGATGCCTGTTGTCTGCAGGATGCATCTGATTTACTCAGGTGATTTAACTGACAGCTGCTTTTGTCCAGTTTCATCAGTTTTACACATTACCTAAAGAAACTTCAGTAGTTAATACTAATTCTTTGTGTTGGGATGGTTAAATGGGCTCTTTAAAAGATAAATGAAACATATTTGTGTGTGTGCAAACCCCCCGGACTAAGTAGATTAAGCTTTAATTTAAGTTGATCTTTTAGAAAATGAAAAAAGAAAGCAGGAAACATACTGACAATTGTTTTGAGGGCAAAACGATCTTCAACCTCTATAACCCTAACTTTTACATTTTACATTTCAGAGGCTTCATCTCAAAGTGCACATGAATGACTTTGGACACATTGTGTCTCTCTCTCTCTGCTGCAGAAACACTTTTGAGCTTTGTGGATGACATCTTGTCGGGGGCCAGGTCTCCATGTGTGATGTTAGGGGACATCCCCAACCTCCTGTCCTCCTCCATCAGCATGATCATCCGCTGCCTGGAGCCCGACACCACCTACATGTAAGTTGTGTCTTTTGTCTTTCATATGCAGGTAGACTGAACTACCTGAAGTAAAAGAAAACAGGGACCAGATTTGGTTCAATCAAGTTGCACTGTCAGATATATTTTGAGCTGCTGCTTTTCTTTTTTCATGCAAATGTTACTACCAAACTGTTACTACCAAAAAAAAATCAGGATACATACTAAAACACAGATGTTAGATTTGTACTGCTCATGCACACTATTTTCCCACAATGCATTGTGCAAGGCAAGAGGACAGAGCAGCTCCTCACAGCTGCAAGAGTTTAGAGTAATTGTATTGTGGTGAGACGGATCCAGAAAAACCAAAGAGAACAAACACGGAATCATCTTTGGAAAAACATTAGCTTTTCTCTCTGGTAAGTTGAATTGGCAGTGTCACCTCAAAGTCGATGTTTGATTGACACCTCATGCTGCACACATTGCATCATTTTCTGTCAGAATAAAACAGTAAAGTTAATTCTAATCTCTTGTAAACTATCTGCAGAAACAGTTTACCATGGGATGAGTACTAAGACCTAGAGTCTTTGCATTCATGAAGAAGCATGGAGTTTGAATATTGCAGACATTTATCATATCGTAGGCCTAGCTGTAGCTAGAAACATTCGAAGTAATTTCTGTGAAATGTTAAGGCTTCAAGCTAGCACATGATAGGCAAGGAAGGAAACGGCTTCCTGGCTAAATGTAAAGGAGCCCTCTAACATCAGTGGTGTCACATTTAATGTTGGTTTATTTAATCAAGCAATCAATCAATATGTGTTAATATAGTGCCAATTCAAAACAAATGTTGTGAAAAGAGCAGGTTAAAGACCTTAATCTTTGATATATTATCTACAAAGACCCAACATAAATCCATCATGAGCACTAAGCAACATTTAGCAAAGTTACAGTGGAGAGGAAACTATTCCTTTAGGAGGCAGAAACCTGGAGCAGAACCAGACTCACGATAAACAAAGTGAGGGAGATGCAGAAAGGAGACGGATAGAGAGCAACAACAATAAATAGGATTTCCAAGTGAAGGCCTCGCATACTTACGTTTCTCAGAAGGGTTAATTTAGAAGGGGTTTGACGTGGTATGAGGTGTTAGAAAGTAGGCATGAAATATGGAAATGGTATGTATTTTGAAGGCTGTGGTCAGAACTCAAAAAAAATATTCTTAAACTCAAAGTATGTTGATTCTGCCACCAGGGGGCTTTCAATTAAAACATCAAGAAAAGATGAAATCGAGGCTTGCGGGGAATCATGGGAGTACTCTTTGCTACTCCCCGCCACCCCTGATGAAAACAAACTCTGCGTTAGCGTACGCAGTCAAGACATCCGGACGAAACCGACCTGAGGAAGAGAATATGCTTACTGACGAGCTAATGTGTCCAAGTTTAATTGACATGACATTTTTTTATCACAGCAGCACAAACAGCAACAGTATGGCAGCTTTCAGTAGCAACTCACGTTTCCTCATGCAATGGTCTTTGACATAACATCCAAGGTTTCCATGGCAACAATGAACATTTCGTCTCTGTTATGGCAGCTCTGTCATGGCGGCCATAAAAGACACGTCCCTATATACAACTGTAAAGTAAAGGATTTCTCTGGCTTTGATAACTGATGGAAATATTTGATGAAATGTAAGTAATTAATTTTAGATATTTTAGTGTGAAAATTCTACATATGACTCCTTTAAGTGTCTTCCTGGTCTCTACAGAGACAGAATAAAACGATGTAAGAAATTAAAATAAATCGCTCTCATTTGTGCTCGTACAGCTCTGTATTCTATCTACTTGTGTTTGTGAGGGAAGAACTTTTTCACGTGACCAATATGTCACCCTCTCCATCAGCACACACACACACACACACACAACTACACACATCAAATCGTCATATGCTCTTGTACACATGCTGACATTTATCTCACAGAGAGGCATGCCAGAAAGGAAGCCACACACATAAAGAGACAGAGTTAAAAAAAAAGAAGGGTTAGCAGAGACAACATTTATGAAAGAGGGAGAAAAATATCAAGAGGGAGGTACAGGGGGGGAACGAAAGTATGAGCAAAACAAGAAAAAAAGAGGAAAGAAGGGGGTATATATCTGTGTGGAGCTGAGTGAGCGGCTGCACATGCCCTTTTAATCCCAGCATCGATGGGGCTCCTGCTCTCTCTCTCTCTATCCCGTCTGGCAGCTCATTCATCTCTCTGAGCCGAGGCCTCGTCTCCCCCTTCAGGGCGCCACACACTCCTTATACCTTCCTTAAAGGCCGAGGCACGGTTTGCTTTGTAGAGGGGGAAATGTAAAGCGTGGGGAGAAGGATGTGCATGCTATTATATAAGCATGACACAGAGAAAAAAACATACTCTGCTGCAAATGCTCGGTCTTGACTAAATATTCTGTCATTCTCTAACCCTCTCGTCTGTTCATGCAGTTATAATAAATACATTTGCAGGTTCATAGTTTATTTGTCTTTCCTTTAGTTCTCCCTCCTCTATGACTGTTGGTGTGGCTCTCTAAATCCTACATGCTTGGATGCAGTTAGTGTTTCCATCACTAGGTGGTGCTACTCATTCAGTGAAATGGTTATTAGCTCTGTAAATTAGTGTTCAGTTTCAGTCCAGTATCGATTATGCAGGTTCTGATCTCCAGTAATAACAGACATTAATTATAAAGACAGCGGAATGAAATGGAGCAGCAGCCAGATGTTTCTGCTTCCGTTTTATTGTCGCTACAGTAATTTATCATCACTGGACATTTTGAATGACTGTATCAGTATCGTCTTCATGTAATATACAGGATTATAACTGACAAAGTCATTCATCACTATACTGCTAAAAAGATGTCTGCAGTTAAGTGGCAGCCACTAGAGTCTCTATAGGGCCCTAGGCAAAAATCAGTTTGGGGGCCCTCCAACCAGAGTTCATCACCATTATGTCTGCCATTGTCCCAACACTTACTCCTCTCTCTATTTTTCCCTGTTTCTTTTTTTCTCTCTCCTAAATACAGATAACTCTTCTTCATTTTCTTCACTGACTTTCATTAAAAAACGAGTGCTGTCAGACGGGGCCCCCTTAGGGAGGTCTCCTACTGTCATTGTAAAATTTGCACATTTTAGGGCCACTGCTTTGGATTAAGTTTGTGAGCTCTCAGGGGGCCCCAAGCAGTTGCCCAAGCAGCGCCTCTGGTGATGTTCGTCTTACCATCTTAAAATTGTATCACTGTTATTAATGTGTTTATTTGTTGATTCTTTTTTTGTATTTGTGTTTTTTTGCAGAGACACATGCAGTATACACAACAATTTCCAAATACACTGCACCGCAGCATGTATTTTCCAATGCCTGTTCCTGGAAGGGCCCTCAGTACAAAGGCACTGATACTAGGGCCAGCAGTAGCTCAGTCTGTAGGGACTTGTTTTGGGAACCAGAGGGTTGTGGATCATGTCTGATGCGGGCCGAGACTGGAAGTTGTTTCTGTTAACTTGTGAGTTGCCAGTTGACTTCCTGAGCACTGCTGAGATGCCTTGAGGGCACTCCGTCATGTTCAGCCCCTCACTCTGACATCTCTCCATTAGTGCATGTCCATAGAATCCTGTTTGTGCATGTTTTTTTAGCCTGTGTAGCATTTCTCTATAAAATACATGTAAAATATACAGAGAGTATGCAACAGAGAGAGCCGTGTTAAATTTGGTGTAACAGTTATAAGAAGCTTCAGGACTTGCTACAGTAGCATGCAAATACAGATAAAAATACAGTATATATAGACATATAACACTACCCCTACACATGATGACATGATTGATTTTTAGGCATTCCTTTGATATCATTTTAAAATTTGACAGCTCTGGTTTGTTTTAAGTTTGGTCTGAAATATATTCCATATGTTAGCTCCCTTTATATTAAAGGGCTACTGGCCAAAAGAGGTACTCCAGTATAATACTACAGTTCCCTAGCTGCTGTGGTGTTCCTGGTTCAAGATCCAAAGGCCTGTGAGGGTCACACCGGGTCACAGAAAACATAGGAGCCATGTCAACACTCGAGAATAAGATTGGTGTTTGCAAATACATGCAGTTGTCAGAGATGTTGATGGGACCTTATGGGCTGTTGGTTTGATATTTTTAATGCATGATCGTATAACCTCTCTATTGTCACGGATGGAGATGACCATGTGGAGGTGACACAGTAGCTGCAGGTGTTAGAATCACAGCGTGCAAAAACACTTTTAGCTGCATCAAATGTTATGCAGTCTCTGAGTCTGAATGTGTTCAGATTGACTTTAATACTGCACACATTTTCTCCACTAACTTTCCGGACTTACTCTAAATATCTTGTGTTGTACATTTCAGAGGACGACCCACAGGGAAGGGGAGAGTGATGGGTTTCAAAAAACTTCTCAATTTGCAGGTTTATGTTATTATATCGTTTTTCTCACTGTTGTAGTCACAAAGGTGTAGATTTATGTAACATTACTGACTAACATTACAAGATGACACATCAAAAAAACAGATTGTGGTCGCAAATAAAGACGTTCCTATCACTGACCTACAGCAGCAGATTTCTAATTTCGGTGTGTGTGTGTTTTTGTGTGCAGGTTCAGACTGTGGGCGGTAGACAACACAGGGCGCCGCTCCAATCCAAGTGAGGTGACCATCAAAACACCGTGTCCCACTGTGGATGACGTCAAAGCACAAGGTGAGGGGAGAGACACAGGGTGTAGAGTCAGGAAGGTGAATCATCTCTCAGTACACATCACAGGCGCTGCTTAGTGCTTAGACATGATCTGTGTTCCATGAAGGCAGAAAAACAACAACTCCAAATCTATATTGTGCTATATTTTCAACCACCGTCTGTGACTAGATGTACATGTGATGTGGATTTAAGGGTCAAGGATTTTTGACTCATTATCAGGGAGGGTCCTGCAAGAACAAATCCAAAAAGAACAAGAAAAAGAGCATATAACAGAGGTTAAATCATTAAAATACATTCATACTGACATAATAATTCTTGAAATTTGTTTTGCAGCAGGAGCACACAGTAGGCAAGACACTCAAGGACAACATCACTGTAGAATCTAACTTGAAACAAAGTTAAAAAAAAAAATCAAACATAACAAACTATAAAACAATATAAAACAATGAAGTAAAATCTATCAAGCGCTCGTACCAAGATTTCATTTAATATTTTTTTATTTCAAACAAGTTTTAAAAATAAAATAAAAATATACATTACAAACAAAGCAAACAGCAATCAAAGCATACTTTCTGTAGTGGCACGATTATTTTTCCTTAACCAGTCCATGTTTGAAAAGGGTGTAGGATGAAGTTAAATAACTTATCCAGTCCTATCCCTTTTATCTTTTTAGCTTAATAAATTAATCCAAGACTAAGCTTTAAAAAATAAAGTTGAATGATACAGATAACTAAGTAACAAAAGCAACAGATATAATGTATTACACACATTAATTGGTAGACGGTACAGACCTTACAGCTGATATTGATTCCATTTTTCCCATTGACTGTTCAATTTTATATTTGTTAAATATGTTATTCTTGAAAATGTCTTTAAACTGTCCTAATGTTTTACATGTTTTCATTTCATCACTGCAGCTGTTCCATAAATTAAACCCTTCGTTGTAATACAGTGAAGTTTCATGTTGGTCCTTACTGCTGTTTTTTTTAACATAAATATTCCTCTGAGATTGTGTTTACTGTCCCTCTGCTGTAAAAACTTTTGGATACTGTTCGGTATCTGATCAGTTTTAACTTTGTACATGATTTGAGTGGTTTTAAAGTCGACCAAGTCGTTAAGTTTCAGTGTTTTCAGTTTGATGAAGAGTGGGTTGGTTGGTTCTCTGTAGTTGGAGTTAGTTATAATTCTTATGGCTCTTTTCTGAAGAATGAAGACTGGTTCTGTATTTGTTTTGAAGTGTGTTCACACTTCCACACAGTAACTAATATATGGGAGTATTAGGGAGAAGTACAACGTGTAAAGTGACTGTTGATTTAACGGCCCTTTCCCTTTAAATAAAATTGCAGTACATTTAGATATTTTTGCCTTAATGTGTTGTATGTGTGAATTCCAGGATAATTTATTGTCTACAATAACTCCAAGAAATGTTATTTCAGCCACTCTTTCAACTTCCAAATCATTAATCATACGTTTCTTGGTCAAGCCAGTTGATCAGTTCCCAAAGATTATAAATTTGGTTTTACTTAAGTTCAGTGTTAGTTTATTTGAGTCAAACCAACTCTTCAGTTTCTTTAATTCATTACTCACTGTATCCAAAAGTTTTTCCAGATTGTCCCCACAGTATAGTAACTTTGTGTCATCTGCAAATAAAATAGTTTTTAAAATACAGGACAACACTGAACCTTGGGGAACTCCACACTTTAACTTCATCTGTTCTGAACCTAGATAATAATTTCTACTCAGTTGGCAAGGTGAAATGTAGAGTTGTCCAAATGTGCAGTTAAAGTGCAAAAACAGCAACCAAAGGGCTAATGGATATGTAATAATTGCAACCGGGACAAATGAGACCTGGAGTCTTTTAGTTTTTCTCACAGGTGCTCTAAAAAGACAACCTGAGGGTAAAAGGTCAAACTCACTCTGAAGAGGGTTATTTGAGCAGACCACTGTTGCCTTAGCGCTCCTCACGAACGGCCTGTTATAAATGGTCAGAAGCCAAGTCTGATGTCTCACTGAGATTTGCTATTTGTATGCTATGTGTAAATCGTATTGGTCAAATTCAGGCATCCACACCATGCAGCAACACAAGCGATTAAAACAGATTCAATACAACTTTTATTAGAGAGAGTCATCATCTCAGAGGAAACATTGAAAGATTTAATTTTCCTTAAAAAGGACAGTCTCAGGGCGTGCTGGTGGAGCAATGGTTAGGGTGCGCGTCCCATGTGTTGAGACTCTCGTCTCGAGTGGTAGGCCCGGGTTCGCTTCCACCCGTGGCCCCTTTCCGCATGTCATTCCCTGGTTTCTGACTCTATCCACTGTCCTCTCTCTGCATTAAAGGCACGAAAAAGCCCAAAAATAAATCTAAAAAAAAAAAAAAAAAAAGGACACTCTCTAATGAACCTTCTTAGCGGTAGCAACCACATGAGGTTTATAACACAATTTGTCATCAAGAACAGCACCCAGATATTTGTAACTTTCTACGATCTCAATATCAGCTGTTTTAATAACAGCTGGTGTTTTGGCTTGGTGAGGACTTTTTAAAATGTATGGTCATATCTTTTGTTTTTGACACTCAGAGGCATTCCACAGTTTAGGGTTATAAAAACCGCTGCAGCATTCTGACCGAGTCATTAGAGACCTTTGGGGTTTCCGTGTAAAAATAGAATTAGAATACTCAATGGGCCTGGTGACATAAGCATTGCTTAAAATGTCAGCATCTATGTGTTGCATTTACTTTATTTAAAAACGCATAATGGTACTAGAGAGGGTAGCTTAGCCAACATTTGAAAATGATTCCACTTGATGGGTGCAGTAACACTAAAAGACGTCTTCCCCCATTCAATCCATAACCTCTGTATTTTAAGGAGATCCAGTTTTGAGATCTGGTGAGATGGTCTGTTGGCCATCATGAGCGGACAGGAGAGTAGTCAGGCAAGGTGGGAGTTTACCAATGAATGCTCTGTAAATATACAGAATACAACAAGGGCCAGCCATCAGAGCGATACAGGTCACATTGATGAGTTTGAAATCTGTCACCTATGATAAAGCAAAGAGCACTTTGATATACAGCTTCCAATGGCGTCAATACAGAGACAGATGTGTGTAGATTGTCTCCATACTCCAAAATTGGCAATTGTGTGGCTTGCACAGTTTTTTGTTAGGCAGGACTTACTCTTACCTAGCTGAGGCCTTATTTTTCCAATTAGGTTTTAAATGTATCACTTATAAGACAAATCCTGATCTAGTCAATCCCAGATATTTGAATTGTTGAATACATTCATTGATTACATTATCAAACACCGTTTCAAAATTGAGTTCTAAAGTAACTTAAAGGATTGATCTGTAAGATATTTACTGAATGAAATCATAAAATAATCTTACTATATCATCAGACATTAAGGAAACATGCTGGGTTGGAGTGCTGGCTTCTCTGACAACAATGCAGCAGCCACTATGTTCTCCTTTTAACTTTAGATTCTGGTCCTGAATGCTCTGGATTTGTTTTGGACACTCCTTGGTTTGCCAGGCAAACGGCAAAAATTGGAAAATGGAGAGAGGTTAGAACACAGGAAGGTTTACAGACTGTTGCAGAGCTACAGAGCTGGCTAAACACTGAAGCTTCATTGTCTGAAACGTGGCAACCTGTGTGCACATCGACCCTAGAGAGGAGGGGGTGGGGGGGAGACAGCTCTCTCTGATGTTTTGAATTTGGACTGCAGTACCCATTTAAAACACTAGGTGCCAGAGTCACATATTGCTTCTTTAATGAGTGAGGTGCAGATGAAGCAGAGGACCAACACTTGCTCTTTGTTGTTTTCATATTGTAAGTCATGAAGTAACAGAGACGCAGTTGTTCCCTTTATTAAACATATTGTTTGCAAAGACTCCTCTTGTAAAAATATCCTCTTCATTTTTAAATGAAATAATACTTAAAGGGGCTATATGTAACTTTTTACATGTATAAATCGTTTTTTATCGCCCATTGATAAGGAAAGTTTCCCCGGGTCGTATTTTCCACGAAAGCTCCAGGAAGTGACATTTTATGCACGTTCTCAACGTCCTCCTCACTCCGCTCCGCTTACAGAGATCAACAGTACAAACTCATCACACACTCACGGTCTTCACCTCCACAGCCAGAGGCCGTCTTCCACACACTTCTATCCACTTAGAAGAGCTCTCAAAGGCAGACAAACTCATCACACACACTCCTGCTCTCAGCCAGTGCCTGCAGAGTCGTTTGTAGGATGGAGAATGAATACAGACACACAGACTCCTTCACAGACTTTCACATGTGTATGACCACTTACCTCCTCTGTAAACATTAGGTCGGTAAATATCCAGTGTTTCATGGACGATAATGATGCTCGTTTGTGTACGTACGAGCACGTATGATGAGCACGCGAGGGAGAGCAAGCAACAGGTTACTGGTGCAGTTCACCTAACGGCCATGCGGTATCGCTACAAACGCAGTATTTTTGAAAGTTACATATAGCCCCTTTAAGTTGAAATATTTCAGGCTGGGGCTGCAGCAGACATAAATAAGACTAAATATTCAGTCCAGTCAATGAACTGCTATGCTACTGGCTCACACTGTTGGTTTCAATGCCTGAAAATATGTGACTGATATACAGTACTTCCGCGCTGTGCCTCTGTTTTATGTATTTCATTGCCATTTTGGAGCGCGACAAGTGGATAAGTCACTAAACTGAAAGTCATTTAAAAACCATTTCCCTTTCCAAGAAATTCTTTAATGGCTTTCTCTTTCAATGGATATGTGAGTGATTGATTCTTTCAGAACTGATGTGAAAATCTGCCTGAAGAATAACATCTGTTTGATCCATCTAATGACAAGTTTGATGACAGTAGAAAAGAAAAAGAAGAGAGTATTATATGTCCCCTTATTTTAATAAAGGTAAAATCATCATGGGAAGTAGCATGAAGAACAGGAACAGCCTATTGAGCTGCAACACTCGATCAATTAGTCAGCCGACAGAAACATAATCAGCAAATCAAACAGTTCTAGTTTAACTTTTTTTTTAATGTTGAGGATTTTCTGCTTCATGTCTGATTTGAAATATCAATTTAATGAATTTGTATCAGATAAGCAAGACCAGATGATTTAGCGATGAAATGATTAGTGGATTAAACTTTGATGAAAATATCTGTCAGTTGATGCCATTCATGTCTCTAAAACAGAATGAGAGTCGAGCTCTCGCCCTATGGTCTCTCCCCGATTTCTGACTCTATCCACTGTCCTGTTTTTAAATTGAAAAATAGGACTCTGCTCCATTTTTCTCAATTAAGATCATTATCTCAGAAAAGCAAGAGACAAGGTGTATACATTTGTCTGCACCCCGGTTGCTCTCTGTGGGGATCCAGTATTATCGGTAATTGTGTAATTGTATTTTTAAGGTTAATTTTCTGGCCTTTATTTAGAGACAGGGCAGTGGATAGAGTCAGGAATCCTTCACATATTGGGCGAGCGCACTAACTACTAGGCTACCAGCGCCCGTCTTATTGTCTCTTGAGTCTCCAGGTGGCTAGAATGTATTTCAGATGCATCACGTTGTATCAGTGAGGCATGTCTCATCCTGGCACTTCAGAGTGCTATTTTACGTCTGAACTGCAAAGATCTAAGTTACCTGCGCAAAGGGGGCAAACTAATGATTGTCCACCCATGCTACCTAAAGAGATGAGCATCTCCCCATGTTCCAACCTTCAACTAAAAGCCAGTCTGGGAGTGTTTTCTACTTCAAGCTTCTGTCTGGATTATTGAGGTATCGGTATCTTGTTACTTCAGAAAGACAGAGCAGGGGCGCTGGTGATGCAGTGGTTAGTGCGCGCGTCCCATATATGGAGGCTGTAGTCCTCAACGCAGGCGGCCCGGGTTCAAAACCGACCTGTGGCTCCTTTCCTGCATGTCAATCTCCACTCTCTCTCCCTGATTTCCGACTCTATTCACTGTCCTATATCTCCAAAAAAGGCACAAAAAATCTTTAAAGAAAAAAAAGAAAGACAGAGCATATTGTTATTTCACGCTTCCTTATTTAACAGATGTCTAGTACAAATAGTTGGTATTATTATGTAGTGTGCCAGAGCAAAACCAGAGATAGAAAATAAGCAAAAATACTACATTTGAAGCCCTCTGGTGTCCCAGAATTTCAAAAAGAGAAACAAAAAAAACCTAACAGATTAGTTGTACCGTAGACTACTACTGAGGTCTTTTATGGCTGCTGACCTCTGAACTTTTGTTTGTCTTTTCCATTGCAGAAATCTCCGATAAGATCTATAACCTGTTCAACGGATACACCAGTGGAAAAGAGCAGCAGACGGCCTACAACACTCTGATGGACCTGGGAGCGCCCACGCTGCGCCGCGTGCTCTACCACTACAACCAGCGCTACGAGAGCTTCGGAGAGTTCACCTGGAGGTGTGAGGACGAGCTCGGGCCCAGGTACAGTGAATATTTACATGCTTTTATTCTTCTGGAGTTAAGTGCTCTGAAAGCAAAACGCTAGTCTCTCAGAGTTTATAAAAGATGACACGAGTGATGTGTCAATTCTCGGAAAGCATACATCACATTTTAGTTATTTTTGCAATCTCTGATGGACTGATATTATTTACACTAATCAAACAGACCATGTCAGACGTGCCTCTTTTCATTTTGAGGCCACATTTGTCGAGGTTCTTAAAGCAACAGATGAATGCATTTGTGTCAGTAGAGTCCAGGAGGATTGTTTGCATTTATTCGGCCACTGGGAGACAAGGAGGGGATAATGCACCTCTAATGGTTTTTGGACGTTGGAAAGTAGACTGGACATATTGGTCCGTCGTCTGCAGCCATTTATCCCAACACAGAGTACACACAATGTGCCTGTAGCTAATAAGATGCTACCCAGCAGACCAATCACGGCGTGTGGCCTGTGGTCTGTGTCCTTTTGACATAGTTACATTTAAGGAGGTGTACATCAGGGTACATATCTAGGCTCCTGCGTAGCTTCAAGGTTATGGTGTAGATTGAATCAGAATCGGCTTTATTGGCCATGTATGCTTACACACACACACACACACACACACACACACACACACAAGGAGTTTGTTTCCAGTGAACTGAGCTCTCAGTGTACTAAAGTATAACATTAAATATAAACATAAAATTAGCAAAAAGACTAACAAGGCTAAATAAGATAGTAGTGCAGTGGTGAGTATTACAAAAATGCTGAGACAAACACAATTATAAATATGTAGTTATGTAACAGATGATTGATTTGCATGAGGTAGAGTTTTTACTGTATTTACATAAGCAGTGTGCATAGATTGATGAGGAGGATAATATTACAGTATTTACATGATTAAGTTATTGAACGGTGGGTGTTTGATTACAGGGATACCGGTATCTCACAGCGACAGGTCGGACGCTCTGTGACTGTTTAGGGGGAAAACTGGCAGGGGAAAAAAAGAAAATCCACAGAGGGATATGCTTATGTTGAGTACCTATTGTTTTAGTTTGAAATAAACATGCTTTGTCTGTTTAAAAAAAGAAATGTTGCTTTAGGACTGTTTTCTGACCCAGGACCAGCGGAAACTCAGACTGCTATACCGACTCGTACACATTGTGTGCTGTCTCTTCAGTCGATTTGATGTTCTCGTAACTCAAGTTGCTGTTATACTTTCCATCCACAGAGCACTTTGGTGGATGCAACAGTGGGATTTGTGTCATCAGAGTGACAGGCTGAGGGAAGAAACTGTCAATCTGTCAAGTTGTTTTGGCGTACATTTATCTGTAACGAGGGGAGGAGTTTTAACGGACATGTTGGACACAGAAGTTACCTATGAATCTACTTCAGTGTTTCATCACAGAGCATGTATCACTTTGAAAGCCCGCTAACACCCAACACTGTGAGGCAATTCTAAAAATCATTTGATTATGTATTTCTTTCAAGTCAAAAGTGAAGGCCGCTCTGCTTTCTTAAAAACCCAGATACCCTAAAACAAAACCACAACAAAGGTAACTCAGTCCAGCTAGAGCATTTCCTTTATACCATTTTCAAGGCAAACCCCAATTAGTTCTCAATCACCTTTTGTGTGCCTCCTCTATTACAGACACACATCGTAGAGAGGCTCAAACAGCCACATCTCCATGGTACCCGCTCGCTCAAAGCACGGCAGAGTCCGACTCTTGTTTTTGGTTCTCATAGGAGGGCAGATGTTTCTCGCTCCAAGCCACCAAAGTGCCGTCTTTTATTCTGGGTGGTTGTTTTGTGTAATTTAGAGTTACAGATGAACCTCATTCAATCTGAAGAGTCGGGGGAAACGGAGTCAGCTTAACCTTCCGAGACATCCTCATCCAATTAGAAACACACAACCAAGAATAGCCCTGAAACTACAGGAAACAAAATAGTACCTGAATGTTTCTTAAACAGAGCCATGTGTCCGACATTGAACGTACAAAATGGCTCTGTGTGTTTTCACTGCGGCAGGTGAAACTGATTAGCCGAGGCTCCCTTAATTCTCTGCCTTTCTCTCTCCGTCTGTGGCCTCCCCCCTTCCCCCCCGCTCCTTAATGAAAGGTTGTTTTTAATAGGAGCTGTGCTGGAAAGAGTTGATGTAATTGAGGGAGTTGCTTCTGAAGTGTTCCATTAAAATACACTTAGATTAACAGCCCCCCCCCCAATTTAGTTAAAGGGAGGGGTGATTAATGGTAATAAAGGCACCTCAGAGCTGGAAGTGCATTTGAGGTGAGGCCTGCTAACAGGGGTGAGAAGGTATGAACATGTTTTGTTTGGCCAAGTCATCAAATGAACATTAGACTTTCCTGTGTATCTGGTTTGCCGTGAGGAGAAAAAAAAAGTCTCTGAACCTGAAGTGGAGCTGTTTGCTGTGTATTGTTAGGCGGGCGGGGAGGGGTGGGAGCATGCAGGCCGCTCCACTGCTCTGTGACTAAGTGTGTTGACAACTTCCCCACGGCGTCAAACAACTTTGTTTCTCTTGACGTGATTCCTCCACTGGGAAAAACATGTGCAGCCGATAAACTGTAACACTGACGCCAGGACAGAAATACTACTGATATCATTTTTTAGAAAAACCAAAACACGAGTCTTGCTGACTTTTACAAGCGTCCTGTATTCATGTTGGCAGGTTTCTGCTGAAGCACCTCGGATCATTTGGCTTGCTGGAGTTCAGTTGAACCAAAGTTGACGAGAGTGGTGGTGTCTGATCGCGATCAGATCTTTATGTTTGTGTCTGAGGATTAATAAACATTTTGGTCGTACAGAATGTATCCTCAAACATTTTCTTTAGCCAGGGGTTTGTTGGTATTAAGTATCACAGTGTATTCAGACTGATAAACATGAGGGGTAGACAGGGATACTACTGTTTATCCATCTGACAAATCATTTGAGTCCAAACACTGCTGAAGCCTTGTTGTTCATGGTGCTCCTTGTTGTTCACATCTTCTTCTTGCTCTTGTTCTTCTCCCTCTGTTTTTTCTCCTTATTGTTGCCGAGGGGTAAGATATGATATACTTTAATGATCCTACACGATCCTACACGATCAGGGAAAATTCAGTCTTATACTCTGTTATTGAATATTGCTGAAATACGCACACATGCACAAAGAGGATCCTATGGACATGCATGGAGAGATGTCAGAGTGATGCTGAGCTGGTGGGTTGGGGATGACGATGGTTCTCACCTATACTTTCTACCAACTCCAGCCGGTATTTATTTATTTTCTATTATTTATTTTTTTATTTCTATTTTTTTATTTTTCTGGAGCACTTCGAAATTTTTTTGCAAAAATGTAAAGTGCGTTACAAATTAAATGTATTATTATTATTATTATTATTATTATTATTATTATTATCCAAGCACTGGGTTCTCAGTTTAAAGTAGAATGGTTTATTGGGGAGAGCAAATACTTTATGTTTAGGTTTGTCATCAGCACTAATTCAGATAAACAATTTGACCTCTACCTTTTTGTTATTTCAAGTCTAGTTTTTATAACTCCAATATGTGTCCCTAGTCTGTCTACTAACCCCACAATGATGAGAAAAGTCCATCCTCCCTGTCTTTTGCCTGCTCCACTTTTCAGAAAAAGTGTGCTCAAACAGGCCGTCAGGAGATTTTCCCGACTCAATTTGTTGTGAAAAGAGATCTTGTTGTGTGAAGCAGACAGGTAAAAGTCCCCGTGTCTCACTGTTTTTATTATCTCAGTAAACAGTTCCTGTCGTCTCAACAGTCCGTTTGAAGTTTTCTTCAATACTGCCTAACGGTCCTATGAATAGAAACATTGATTTTCTGTCAAACTATTGATTTTTAAAGTATCTTGGTCATAAGTGGAATAATGTTTAGTGAGCGGGTTGTTCACAGAAAATCCTGATTTATTACTCCAGTCCGCCCCTGATGATTATCTACCATCAGGGGCGGACTGGAGTAATAATTCAGGCCTGCAGTAAGACTCCATCCCAGGCCACCCATTCATACACTGCCAACAAAGCAGCGGGAGCAATTCGGCGTTAAGTGTCTTGTACAAGGACACATTGGACATGTTGAGCTTGGGATCGAACCTACCCCTCTGGTTGAAAGACGACCGACTCTACCAACCGCCCCATAAACATGGGCGTCACCTGTGGATTATTGAGTATTGAAACATCATTGGTGAGACTGTGTGCACGTTCACAAGAGAAACTAATCAGGGACCAACTCATAGAAAGTCGACTCCAACGCTCAGTCAGAGGTCTGAAACCGTTTTGAATGAAATCTTTGACAGAAAACATCCTCCAAAGAGACCAGACAGTCCTTGTTCTTCAAACCAGCTCATCTTGAAGTCCTTCTTCGATCGTGGTTTCATCTTTAACTGATCATTTCTTCGGCCACTTGAGAGGGAATATACCTCTCCCACCCAAACAACAACACATCTGTGGTACCGCCAGACGTAAACAAAAGAGCAGACAGGCTCCCCTCCAGCACACACACACATGCACCACTACTGTACATGTGCAGACCACAGGCACGCACATGGTTTCAACTTCCCAAATCAGCTGAATGTTTTTTTTATGCAGAGAATTCCCCCGCTCCCCTGTCACAAACAATGAGGACTGAATAAACTGGATTTTCATTAGCTAGTCAAAATACAGATAACAAGAGCCCCGCTCAGGCTCAGCCTCAATGTAAACTTACATCAGCCAAGTAAGCAAAATCTGGAAACAAATGAATGAACAAATGTGGCTCTGTCGTTCTTGTGGCAGCAGATATTCTGATCTGCTGTTTTTTTTTAGACACGTCTCAGATCTCACTGACGAGACCAATTGGCATCCCGCGGAGGATATTTTCGTTTCCCTTTTTACATGCAACATCGCGTGACGTTTTAACTCGAACCATAAACTCACAGAGCGGCCTCTTTCAGAGGCTCGACACTTCTTCTCCCCCGGGCCAGACCCTGTCGTCACCAGGG